CTGATTTCTAATCTCATTTATATAGATTTTCTGAGTTCTTTCTACATTCTTTTAGTTGCCTTATGCCGCTTTCCAAAAGAGCAATTGCTGTCCTACATTTTTCGTAGGTTTCGTCATTTATTTCAAAATATTCTACACTTTTTGTGTAGTCGTTATATCTAAGAACTAAGTTTTTAAGCGTCTGAGCGCTATAAAGTATGGGCTTCCTATGAAAATGGAGCGCCATTCTATTTAAAAGTGTTCTTGTTAGACAAATATGTTATAAATTTGGTCAGAATCACGTTCGATTCTTTATTACTGGTACGGCCTATTAAAAACTACTTTTTTGGCCGATGCACCAAAAGAAATGTGGTGGTTCAGTGGATTTATAAGTATACTTCAGAGGATAAGCAGCGAGAACGACAATAATAGTAATTATAATATGTTTATTATATATAAAGGCGAACCTACGTCTTGATTGCGACGGATAGGATGGAGCTGCGAGTAAATGGACGTCTTACTCGGGACGTAATAGAGGAGGTAGTCTAGTATACGGGATATGGCAGCCTGCGTGCGGACCATCATATCATGGGTCCGCCTCATGGCAGTACTTAAGGACCCACGCTGAGAGAGGTTCTAGCCCCAGACGTGGAGAGAGGACGTAGAGAGTGAGATCGTCGTCACAGACGACGATAGCGCCCATCGCCGCGCGTGGCGGTGCGGCGAATTACGATCCTCTTTACCGTCCCCCGTGAAGAACAGATAATCGACAGTTAGTGGGATTAAGGTAAGTTCAAGTTGTCCGTAGACCGAAGGCGACGGGAGGCGGTCGTTTGGCGCGATTTCATTGCCGTTTACGTGTTCTGACAGGTACACGCCTACCGGATAACTTGTCCGAATCACTGAACTATAAGGGTTTTCGTAATTTGCAGTCTATCGAAAGCCGTCACTTTTGGTTATAGTGCTCATTATTCTAACAATAAGTTTTCTCCTAATTACCAGTTAGGGAAATACATTAGTCTGAAGTTTGGACGAGTTACCTCACCTGGAAGTCGGTTTGTCTGACATGTTCTGACGCGTAGACGACAAAAAAAGTCGCGCCAAACGACATACACTTGAGGCGACGTTCCAGGCAGTCTCACAGTAGTCCAGTTAAGACCTACATGATTTACCGTGAAGGAGGTGTTCGTCCGCCAACTAGCCAGTTTGCGTGTGTCACCGCAAAGCGGACCTCCTCACCTATGACCAGCTGGCCTAGGGCTGCGACTCAAGCCACTGCACTTCCCTCACTCTCAGGGAACACTTATCATGCGGATGCCAGCGTTACCCTCAGTATTGATATTTATACTTTTCTAGCCGCTTAAAAAGCTGGCGTATCTTCAAAACGCTGACGCAATGCATGAGCGCACTCTAAAGGATTGGGAGCGAAAATTCCTCGTCCCTGAAAAGGTCGCGGATCTAGGCTGCTGGGCATGCGTCAAGGTACATTTGTAAAAAACCGGCAACATCTTCAAGCTAGACATCAGTAAACTACCGTAATACGTTACTAACAAGAGGTACTGAAGCACCGACCTTTTTCAAAAGGTTGCCATCCAGGTATATATTGTGTTGAAGTCTTCTTTTTAACCATGGAGAAACCATGAATAATTGAACAGTGTAAACACTTCAGCATTTTGAACTATATCATTCAGTAGCAAAAAAATGGTATAGTCAATAACAATCAATAAAATAAATACCGTAAACAACAACACTTCTGCATAAGAAGCAGATATCGTACATTAACCGGACACCTCCACACACACTTTCCACACCCTCCTCAGCAGATGAAAGTGAGAATTACCCCCCCCCCCCCCTCTCTATTTACGACTCCAAATAAAACCCCTTAGGACACCCACCCCCAGCTTCAATTCCACTAGATTATGAAAGATGTAACGCTGTCAATATTAAAATGCTTTTGTCAATACAGAGGCACG